AAGGTCTAGTTTTAATAATTTGTAATATTTTACTCCCGGTTGCTCTGAATAACAGTTTTCATATATCGTGACACACAAAATCACCACTGCCATGTGTGGCTATCTTGCTCTTCTTAAGAATTGCTAATACTGGAAAACCATGAAACATTCAAAGCAATTCAAAGTGAAATAGGAAAATTAATGCAGTCTAAAAAGAATTATTTTAATAAATACATTTTAAATAGAGGAGGAATTTCAGACACTTCAATATATCAAAACATCACAAATTGTTTGTTAACTATCATTATAAGCATTATCTTAGTATTTTCAGTATGATCAAATACTACATATGTATTTAAGGACACAAACTGAGCCTCTCCTTATCTGGAATAATTGAAGACTGCTGATGCAACAGAGCAGTAATACAAAAGGGAAGATAAAGAGAACCAATTAGACTACAATTAGGTAACAGAAAGTATTAACAAAAACATACCCAAAAAATGCTGTTAGTAAATTGTGTTTTCTTCTTTACCTCAGGTAAGCAGTATCAGATATTTAAGTACCAACTAATGCTCCCACAATCCTAGAAAAAGAATGCTGAAACAGTTCAGTTTATCAGCAAATAGACAAGACTTTGCACACATATAACTTCACATAGGTGCTATTAACAACTCTAGTCAGTCTTATTTGGAAAACAGCGACTTAGACTCAGCACAAATTGTGAGACGCTGCAGGGATGGCAACTTTTCAAGGGCAAATCAAATTATAAGCTTCTTTCTGAAGCTAGTGACTAACATGGCCATAAAAAACTCAGCAGGGGCAGGATATGCTGCCTCTGGCAGCCTGCTGCTTCTCAGAATTTTCTTATCATTTGCAGTTTGCATGCATACAAGATTGATCCTACAATCCTTTGGGAGGTTCCAAATTTAGTTAGAGTGGAGAAGCAGAAGTCGTTGCCTCTCACAAAGTGCTACAACCTCCCAGCATGTGCCATTCTGAATCTCCTTGTATGCTCTTTGACATCACACACTTGATTCTTGACCTTAATAAAGGTAACCAACCTAACTGTGTGCAAAGCTGATTTGAGATGAGCAGCACACGTTAACGATAGAATTCCAACAGTTTAAGGCCATATTAGTATGGCAAACTCCATACTCTGAGAGAATAAAGACACAGTAGACAATACTGCAAGTCTGATCAAGGTTACAAACTACATACCATTGTGTCACTTGAATTACACTACTGAAGAAGAAAAGCAGCCCTTATAGTATCACTACAGTGTGCGGTCAAGTGCTTCCATTTTTGACCAAGTTGTGTTGGTTAGGATAATAGAAGAAACACTTCTAGTGAATTCAACATAAATCCCCATTCTGAGATACACTGGTAGAACAAAAGCTCTTACCCCTTCCATTCTTTTTTTCCCCTCTTGATACAAGCTGATTAGGTAATTTAATTTAAAAATAAAAATTGATTAAGTTTTTCCCAGCACAAGTTATATCTGGTCTAGGATATTGTCAATTTAGCTTCACTAGTAAATAACAAGTGGAGATAGAACTAAAACCTGGTAACTATAGAAAAAAAATTTAAAAATTATGTTCACTTTGCTATAATAATCTTTGTAAAGTAGAGTTGTACACTCAGAACTAAGGACTTACTCCAGTGTATATTAGTTGTGCATTTATAAACAGTAGGTCAGCAAATGAAGAGAATGAAAATAACTCCACAAATCACCTATTGAAGCTGTATGAGAGATTACATCTGAGGTGATATTACATTAAATATAGAAAGTTTTATTATTATGCTAACCACTTAACGTAAGCTGTAAGAATGGATAAGTGGCAGTGAAAATGGTGACCAAAAATCTGGGTTAAACAAAGCTTCAAAAAACACCCCAACCCGAAAATTTATTGTCAGAATAAACAATTACATTAAAACACAATAACCAAACATAAGCCACTACAAAATAAAACAGACACTATCCATACAACTCACAAAAAGAAAACATGTTATCTGACCCTGCAGGACCTTTGATTCTGCACAGACTCATACACAGGGTGGATTTCATTCACTCTGAGCAGAAGTTAGAAGTGCCAATAACCAATAAGGAACAGGATTAAACCTACTCCAGCAGCAAGCAAGGACTGGAATTAAATAACTGTTAAAGAAACTATGTGCCAAAGGTATCAGCCTTTGATTTTAAAATAATCAAAAGCTTTAGATGAAAAAGAATTAAAAATACTGAATTTCCACAGAACTTTAGCTTTGACATGCTGTGTGCCAGCTTCAACATAAATTGTGTGTCTGAAATTGCCTAGAAGAAGGTATAGCTGAAAAATGTCTGACTAATTTGATAAAGACTAGTTTTATTGAGAGTAACAGAAAATCTGAATGGAGTTAGCAACTTCAACTACTTAACCTAAACAAACAACAAGTATTTACAAGAAAACTTTGTTTCTACAACAAAATTACTAATGGTTGTTTGATCTCACTTCAGACAAGAATGAGACTTTACCCAGTGGCTCAAATAATGCTTACACCAGAGTACCACACATAGGTAACACTGGTCTTAATAACAGTACTTTTAAAGCATAAAGAGATGCTGCTGATAAGTGTCACATAACTACACATAAAATCTTATGTTGGCTCTTTATTCTATGATGGCATGGAGATACATTGTTAGCTTCACTTTTTCAATTATAGTAAATAATTACCACCTTTTGGAGCAATTCAACAGTAAAGACTATATTACCAAGGAAAACTGGGAAGCACTGGAATCTCACTGCATTCTCAAAAGCAAATGTTAGGCCTAGCTGATGAGACAGAAGGATAAACATTCCCATTATAATAAACATTTAATTTCAAATACTTGCCTTAATCTATAATATTTCACATACATATGCTGCAAACATTCCCACTACATAGCACACCTCAGCAGGAACAAACAGTGCAATACAGTTTGCCAGCACAATTTCAAGAAAGGCTGCTTGAGATCAGTTACAATGAAGAGGAATAATAACAGAGAGTAAGGTTATCCTCTATTAATTAGAATGTGAAAAGCATCTCCATTTAACAGGATTCCACAAGCTCTGAACTGAAAGAAGACATCTTCAAAACGTAAAATAAAGGCAACACACTTGTTTCAACACTCTGTTTTGCTTTTTACTATTTTCTATTTTCATCAACAAGTAGCATCTAAACTGCTTAAGAGACTTGCAGCATGCCTCTTTGGCTCTATCACTCTATTCCTCATTGCATTCACAATCCAGTTCCACTTTCAGCTTATCAGCCTTAATGTTATGCTCTGCATGGTCAATTCTCTGGTAGTTTCGAAAAGCTCAATAGATTAATTGCAGCAATATGGAATACAAGACATTTGGAGAACTAGCATCTCCAACAACCATTTTACTGGAAAACTGAAAAGTTCAAATTGAATAAACTACTAAACATTTGCATAATCCAGTAATTTACTGTCTCCAAAAATAAATCAATTAAATAAGCCGGAACTTCTGGAGTTCCCCCCAAGAATTATTAAAAGTGTACTTGTAGGACTGTCCATGTGTTACATGGAGGCTACTCCAAGAGAACACAACAGCACCTGGACTAGATCACTTCACTCAACACCCTTTAAAAATGATTACTTCCCACATTTAATACTTTTTATGTATAGCTACATACACATCTACTTAAGCAAGAGTTCCATGCATATGTGAAATTGGTCTCAATGACAGGACTTTCTAAACATAATGCAATGCTGCTAAAAAACGTCACACAAAAACATAAAACTAACAAGGAGATATGTTTCTAGTAGGATTTCTAGTGGAGTAATGGATGCTAGTCACTGTATACAGAAAATTAAAGTTTTAACATGTGCTGTCCAACAAACCAGGATTAATAAGCTATTCAGAAAAATGCTTATTTAATAAAAATTGAGTTTTCTGAGAAGATGCAGCTTAGAAATTCTCTACAATTAAGACTGCAACATTAAAAAAAATTCTTTGTTCTTGACTCAAGAATAAAGGTTAGTCTCAAGAATAAAGGTTGCTATTTATCTGCCTGTAGTTCAGCCTGTTCAATCACTCTTAAGAGATAAGATATCACAGCATACAAACTGTTGAACTTCCAAAAATTGTTAGATATGAGTAGATGAATGGTACTGGGTACTGCAAGCATACACTGACCTCTTCCCCCCATCCCACCTAAACCCTCTGGCCTACAAAACACTTAGGTCTCTCAGCCCTCAAATAACGAACCAACTCCAATTGACAGTAACTTTTTATCTTAAGGAAGAACAGGAAAAAGCTCACTTCCTCTGTGAAAAGGATAAAATTGGGAAACACAGCTGTGTTTTGGAACTTGCAAAGATTATTTTGTAAATAATAACCATCTGTCCTTGAACACGCCCTTCTGAGTGTGCACTGATGCTCCACAGGAAAATATACTTTAGCATCCAACACACAGGTTGGACAGAGTTTGGACATTCTGTGTGACGCGTTTCAGACAAAGTATGAGTTACAAAAGCACTGTTTCCGTGAAACACTTTTCTTTTTAGAAGTAAAAAATGTTCATGAGCGTCTAATCGCACCTGACGTGCAGCCCGGGCACCGTGAGAGGAAGAAAGTTACCTTTTCACCTGAAAGTTACCAGCAAGGCGCGGGGCTCAGCACAGGCCGTGCGCTTGTGCAAACCACCCGGGTCCAGGGCTGTCAAGCGCGCAGGGGAAGCGCTCGGTGCCGAGGCAAACCCTGCCTCCTCCCGCCGCGGCGAACGGCGGAGCTCCTGCCGGCGAGGCGCGGCGGGCTCGGTGCAGGTGACACGCTGCTGATGCCCGGCGGGCCGGGAGCGCGCCTCACCTGCCGGGCCGCCGGGGCCGTGAGGGCTCCCGCAGGACGCCGTCTGACCACCGCAGACCCCCACAGGCCACCGACAGCCGCCCCTGGGCCGCGACTCCCCCTGCGCCGGCCCAGCCCTGCCCGTCGGCGGGAGCGGGGATGCTGATGCTGCTGCCGCCGCCGCCGCCTTACCTGAGCCAGGACCGCCGGGATCACACGCGACCGCAGGCTGTAGCACGCCGCCAGGCAGCCTCCCCCGAGCAGGAGGGCGGCCCCGCGGGCGGGCGGGCGGCGCTGTCCCCGCGGGGGCCGCATCCCGGCGAGCCGCCCCCGCAGCGGGGCGCGGGCCCCCGCCGACAGCGCCGCTCTCCACGCCGCAGACATCTTCCCGGAACACGGCGCCGCCGCCGCGCCGCGCATGCGCCGGGCCCGAGGCCGGGGGGGCGGCTCCGGCTCCGGCTCCGGGTCCGTCCCGCCGGGAGCGCCCGGTCCCCGCTCCGCCGGCGGGAGCGACGCCGCCCGCACCGCCGGAGGGGACGGAGCTGGCGGAGAGGTAACCTGGAAGGAGGCGATAGCCAGCTGGGGGTCGGCCTCTTCCCCCCAGGCAGCTGGAGGCAGGACGAGAGTACATATCTTAAGCTGAGCCAGGGGAGCTTTAGGTTGGACACGAGCAGGAATTTCTTCACGATTAGACATTGGAATGGGCTGCCCGGGAAGGTGGTGGAGTCACCACCCCTGGGAGTGGTTGAGGAAAGACTGGACGCGGCACTCAGTGCCGAGGTCTAGTTGACAAGGTAGTGTTCGGTGGATGGACTCGATGATCCCAGAGGTCTTTTCCAGCCTAAAGGATTCCGTGATCCCGTAGCGCAGGCGGAGGTGCGCAGCAGTGACCGCCGCCACAGGGCCGCCGTCCCACCCTGGATTCGCGCCCGCCCCTCGGCCCTGGTCCCGGGAGCCCCCATGGGCTGAGGAGAGGCCGCAGGGCCCAGCTCCCGGCCTTTCCCTGGAAACACCTCGAACGGAGCGGGCTGCCGGACCGGGGCCCTTCCCTGTGGGCTCTGCCTGCCCCTCGCCTTCCCCCGGGAAAGGGAGAGGGCCTGGCGGGTTCCTGTTGAAGGGGGAAGGCGGTCAGGGCAGGGCCAGGCGTTTCTCTGTGCCGGGGGAGGGAGCACCGCAGGCCTCCCTGTGCGGTGGGGAGGGAAAAGTGGCGGCGCTTGCAGGGGCTCTTCGGCCCCAGGGTGAACCAGGGTGGCCACCCCCTGTGTCTCTCGCTGAGCTCACCTTATTTCCTACTGTGGTTCTTCTCCCAGAGCTTTAAGCCCTTGCTAAGTACATGAAGAGCAATGGTTCGGGAAGCCCGGTGTACTGAGAGAGGCAGCTTAGGTGAGCTTCCTTCCACAAGCAGGGCTGACCTGGCACTGTGTGCTCTTCACTTTGGGTTTTCTGGGTGTTGAAAATGTCACGTATGGGATGTATTGCTTGGTGTGTGATCCAGACGAGAAAAACCAAAAGCACGAGCAAGTTGAGAACATCGTTTTTAAGGGGAGAGTATAGAGTTTCTCATGAAATACAGGTAACAGGAGATGCTGTTTGCAGAAACTGTCATGGCAGAGGTGTTGACTGAAAAGCATTACAGAACGATTTGATTGGCAGTAATCACTTGTGTCAAAAGACAGCTATTCACTGTGCATGCCTCATAGTGCTTTTTTCTCCCACTGCCATAGTTTTAACAAAGCTCTCTAGGTCTTGATTAGATTGAGTCAATTGCTCACAGTCAAACATTAGTTAATTGATCACAGTCAGAAATCGGGCCGTTCCAGAATTAATGCTAAGATCATATGAAATAAAACAGAGAGGAAGCTAAACAACCTTTGCGTATTGGCAGTACAAGTATCCATGTTTTCAGACCAGTTCACCTAGTGACTCTGTGTGAATGTGGAAAAAGACTGGTGAGAGAATGGCTGCATGCAGTTTCCTATTACTTTGGTCTTTGGAAGAAGGCCTTCAGAAACTACTCAGAAAGTACTCAATCTGTTTTAGCAAACTGTACCTTTCAGCTCTTTCTGATATGACAGCCTGTGTTGTCAACATTACAAATGTTGTGGTACAGGCTCTGAAACTGGAAATGTTTTTTTTGCCCTTTATCCACTGATGAAAGGTGATAATCCATCAGTGCCACTAAAGTAATTTTGGAGTCATGAATTCAGTTTTATAGGTGGTAATTTCAGTCATTTAACTAATGGCATCTGAGATTTTATCCAGTCTTCCATTAGCATGTGTTCTCTACTGAGTGTCATTCTGTGAAGTGTTTGAGACATCTTCGGGAATCACAGGACCTGAGTCCTTAGTAGGATACAAATCCTTCAAAAACACTTTCTTTAGGGAACAGTGCTCATTGCAAAATCACCCAAAAGTGCAACGTGTAGGGTGAATAGTTTCCATCTCCACATACTAATACACATTGCAAAATCTTTTTCCTTTTCCCAGAGACCTAGAAGTTAACTCATATGGGAAGAGTTTTTTTAATCCCCAGATACTGCAAAACATAGGCGCAAAATCCCTCTGTCATTATACACAAACACATATTGCAAAATCCTGCTTCTGCAGAGATGTAAAACTTGCAGCAAATTGCTATCCCCTATTTCTAATTCCCTCTAGACAGACAAAATATTTTTCATGCCAGTCTTATAGTTTGACACAGAATATTTGTACAAACATATTAAAAGTACTTTACTTTCTGTGTCAACCAGTAACCAAGCACTTTATGAATGCTGGCAAATTCTAGAAACATTGTAAAGGATGTCAGAGTGATTTGATTTCTGAATCTGATTTCTGCCAGATAACTTGATGTTGAACACACTGTCACAACACAGGTAAGCAGGTTTAGTTCATTACTCTGCCAGGCATTTTCAGTTTTTCTTTAAGTAAGAACAAATAAGTAGGTCATTTATCTTTCCTCAGATGACTTTCCTGACTGGAGCAGATACAACTGCAGTGTGAGTGGAGAGTTATCCTCATATGGCTGCAAGCACGCAATGCTGATGTGGAAGTTAAGTGTCCTCAGCCACCCCGTCTCTCCCTGCAGTAAAGTCACCCCGTGGATGGAGCGTCCAGGAGTGCAGAGCTATGGCTGCACTAATGTTGCTCACAGTTGTGTTGCTGTAACAAGGCTGGTACAGTTCTGAGTGCTAGAACACAGGCCTAAATAGCTAGAAAACTCTTGGCTGGGAAGAGAAAGTCCTGTTTCACCCCTTGAATTATCACTGCAGGGTAGTTTATGACAGAAAGCCAAGCTCACTTTGGTCTATAGAAATGACACTGACAGTCTGGTAAGTATGAGTTTCATCAGACAAACTGAGCTATGTGGTGACAAATGTCCTGCAGCACTAAAATGTTAGCTCCCATTCCCATCCTGCTATGTTTACTCTTCCTTGGCTCTTGTAAGCAGAAATCATTACATTTAGCAAGATGGCATACCTGCTTTTTTAAAAAGTGCTTTCTACGTGTTGACTTCAGACTTTGTCCTAGAGGTGTTTGCACTGCTGAAAAATTGAAAAAGCAAATGAAAAGACTAAGAAAATATTTTCTGAAATGTTTAAAATGTAATTTTTCCTTAAGAGTCAATGTTCCACTGAATAGTTATGTAACAATACTTAAATGCAGTCTTTTCATGTTAGGCATAATGAATATAATGTAATAATAATAATAATAATGGCCAGTCTTCGCCAGCGAAGATCCGGGGAAGGTCTTTACACCTTCCAGCCTGCGCATTGGATTTTTTAGGTGAGACACAGTGTGTGCGGAACTGAGCCCACCCTTTAATCCTAAGGTTCATCTGCCGGGGCCAAGCGACCTTGGACGGTGGCAGCGAGGTCCTCAGGACGTAGATGGGTTAAGGGCTAACGAGCTCCATCTGCCCGGGAGTGTCCCTGACCGGGAATCGAACCCGGGTCTCGGAGGTGACAGCGCCGCGCCCTTAACCACTAGACCACCAGGGGCTCCCTGAATATAATGTGAAGCTACATCAAAAGACAAAAACATACTACCATGAAACAGAACCCTTGCAAGTCCTGTGATTCTTAGGAAATCATGTTTGGCTGAAACTTAATTTCTTTTAAGTTTTGTTAGAAAGTCAAAAGCAAAAAATTAAAAGTGCCAAGTAGACATATATGTCCTCATGCTTGAAGCTCCACTTCCACATCTCAGTGTCTTTTAAGAGTGTTAGACCAAGTTCCAGCAGGGATTCCCTCTCTGCTAGATCTCCAATCCTCTCAAGAGCATTAGGCTTAGTGCCAGCATTCATTTACTCTTGTAACAGCTTAAATTAATTCTTGTTACCTTCTATCTAAACCCTTTCTTACAGAATAAGAGTTGAGAGCAGGATTCAGTCACCTAGTCTGAGGGCCACCCATCATGCTCGTCAGTCTTTCAGGATTTCAAATGCTGCATAAGCTGGACTGGGGAAGGCAATGATCAGCCATTGGTAAATTGAAGGAGGGGCTGGCAAGCCATCTTTTGTATGCATGTCCCTATTTCCTGAGAAATAGCGTGGGGGTGGTCTGACTTATTTACCATAAGTACATGTGACAGTAAGCTCCAGCCAAATGCAGGATTTGAGTAGGCTAGGCACTGTGCTAACAGTATTTTCATACTTTCCTGGAGGAGCTAAACAGACAAGCTAATTGAAAGACAGGAAGTATCACTGCATAGTTTTATAGGTCAAGAACTGGACTGTAGATTATATTTTACCCAAAGTCAGATAGAAGACTGAAACGAAATGTCTCACAAAGCCAGGCCTTCTTTAGCCCCTTCAAAATTACATTGGTCCTCTTAGGAATATCACTTATATTTTGCTTTAACGGGCATGAGAGCAATCTGTCTGACTGTGATTACAAGGCAAACACTCTGAAGCAGGTAAGGATATAAGCACAAGGAGGACAAGTTTTCCTAAAAGTGGTAACACAAAATAATCTTAGCACACTTAGAAAAGTGCAGGGTAATTGAATAGAACTGGACAGTCATTAAAGTTTGCCAGCTGATACCTTGATCTCTGTCCAGAGTCTCTAAAGTCCTGGTCTTCACTAGGCGAAGTACCAAGGTCTTCATTAGTTGGCTTCAGGGATTTCCAGAGCTGTTTTGTATTCTAGAAAGACCATTATTTGTAGAATATTTAGAACCTTTAAAGGTAATCTACTCCCACCCCCTCTCCAATGAGCAGGAACATAGGTTGCTCAGAGCCCTTTTCAACCTTACCTTGAGTATTTGCATAATTTCTACCCATCCCACTCCATGAGAAAAACCCCCAAACAAACAACAAATAGAGGAGAGATCAGTTTTAAGGAAGCTGAAATACCTTTCTCTGATGAAGTTTTAAGATGACAATGTGCTGTTAGTTTACAGAAAGTCCAGTTGTTTTGTATGCTTTTAAGATGGTGGAAATGGAACTAATTATCAGAGAATCAACACTCATCCACTAGTAAAGCTGAAAATAAATGTGAACATTTTGTGCCTAGATAACACTGTTCAGTCATAAATAAGAGTTCACAGCCATCTTTGCGTTTAGGAGTACACTATAAATATAGCTTATCTTCAAGTATTTTCAGCTTGCTGGAGTTACTTGAAAGCTTATCATGATAGAGTCCATTTAAAAGGAAAAGAATTAAAATTTATCTAAGATATGTGTCCCCAAATACCTCTCATAGCATTCATTTATACTGACCTTTCTAACATACTGTCTTCCCACACTCCTTGTATATAGTTAGCCGAAAAAACACCTTACTGACATTCATAAAAAGTTCCCTCAAACTTCAGAATTACTTTTTTTCAGTCAAGTTTAAAAATCAGAGAAAAAAGTTAAAAGCAAAATTCTTACGTTAAAAAAAAATAAATTTGAGAATGGAAAATACCAGTAATATAATTGGAAAGATTTTAAAATACAGTTTCTAAGTTGTCAGCGACCTTTTTCTGATAAATATTTGATTCATAAAAGAAATGTTACACAGAGTTTTGAAACACTGTTTTTATGTGAATAAAAAATGCAGGTCAAAACTGATACTCTCTTGTGAAAGAATATGCTTTTTTTTTTTATTTGAAAAATATATTTGCTATGACTTTCCAAGTAAGGCTGTAGGTCTCAATTTTGTGACAAGTTAAATATATTATTCCTAATTTTAAGAATTTTGGAAAGTTCTGTGGTCTTAAGCAAGACTACTTTGACTGCATAAAATCAGCTATATACATAAATCTTTGAAGAGTGGGGACTTTGTTGCTGTTAGATAAGAACTGTTGTTCAACTTCTGTTTTATCTTTTAATGATAACATCCCATGACATTTTTGCAACAATAATAGAAGTTCCCTGAAAATGCTTTAAGTAATGGAATTACATTATGTATTTTAGTGATTAGTTTTTCCTCCTTTTTCCAACTGAGTAAGTTATACTTCATTTTCCTTCCCTTCCAAACAGTCTTCTATAGTGTTGCTAGCACTGATTAAAAAGGTAGACCTATATCTAAGTGAAATCCTATCATTTTGACTTTTTACCTGTCTTTTTATACACATACCTATGTGTTCATATTTATATATGTATTTTGCCTATAATATATTATTCGTAGGTTTTCTTGAAATCATATGTAAATATAAAATTTTATTGCAGAGACCTTGCTGCATTTCAGGGTGTGTTTCTTCTCTTTTCTTTCATTATCTGAAATCAGTGTGAGCATTGCAATCAATTTTAATTATACCAGTATTTCACCCTAAGTTTTATAGGAAGAGCTGGCAGCAACAACTATAGTTAAAGTTGCCTAAGACTTTCCACTGTATAGATTCTGTACTTAAAAAGAGAGAGGGATAGAAACTGTACATAAGGGTACAATAAAACATGTCAAGATTAGCAAAGTAATTTTATCTGTGTTACTTGAAAAACCAGAAGGATTTATTAGGGACTCTGACTTTATATTTTTAAATGCAGTGTGACTGAGACCGATATAATTTTAAATAATTATTGTTATGAAGTTCAAAAAATACTATAAAGATGGCAAAGACATTACTTCACTGTATTACTAAAGAAACAATTATAGAATTATCAGTATTTTAACCTGTAAAATATTTTTAAAATATATGTTTTCTGGAAATGTTGAAGTAGAAAATGTATCGTATACCTTCTTGTTTCTTTTCCCAGACCACTCTCTAAAGCTACTATTAATTACACATTGCAGTACTACTGTGATTTATTAATGCAGGTTACCTTAATTATAACATCTTTAATACTGCTGAAGATGGTGAAGTATATATAATTACTTCTGTGAAAAAGAAAGGAATTATAAGACTCTAAATTACTGTTTTCTGTAATGTATTCCATTATTTCAAGTAGTGTTTTCTCCTTTTGCTCACAATACTATTTATGAGCTTTGGTTGCACCTACTTTTGTGTAAGCAAGGGAAGGCATGATTATTTTCCAAATATGTATGTTTAGTTGTTTAGTAACTAAACTTAGTATAGGGTGCAATCTAAGCTAATAGAACGAGTGTGTGGTAGACATATACCTTCACTATAAAAGATTCTGTGATGCTTTCCTAAAAGATTTCCAAGTCCTGATACCAAGCTCATTGTAGTCAGCAGAATCTCTTTCCTTAGGTTTCTGCATTTTGGCACTTGCAGAGCTGAAAAACAGCTTTACTATCTGTGTAAGTCTTAGTGGCATTAATAACATCCCTGAAGGAACTATGGACAAAGTTGCTCTTTGGGGAATGGCCCCTACTTGGCACCATTCAGGCAGAAGCTGTTGGCTGAGGATTCCTAGTCCATTACAGAACCCTTTTCTAAAGAAGGGAAAGGTCTTGAAGGAACTTTAGGGAGTTGGTACTCTGCAATATTTGAATTGCATGTGTCCAAGGAGGCATAAGCTATACAAAGAGCAAAAAGCTGAGATACACAGACTGTCTCAAGTTCACAAGGGTTAGGAAGTCTCCTGTTCACATGGCATTTACAGTGTTTATGGGTCTCATGTTCCCACAGCTTAGGTATAGACTCCCTGTATCTGGTCTGTAATGGAGAGATTTAGTTGGAGCAGCCCAGAGCACAGCTAGAACACCTACATGGTGGGGGTTCTGGTCTCTGAGCTCTCTTTTATGTAGCACAAGAGATGTACCCCTACAGTATTGGTAGGACCCACAGCAAAACAGCTGTAACTTTATTTCTGAGGAAAGGAGACTGGTGAGATTAAACCGTGTGTGATGGAGGTTTATGCTGAATGGCAGGAGTATGTAAGACGTGGCTAAGATCCATTCCACTAAAAATAAATGTGTACTTACAGGTTCTACACCTGAATTTATCACCTTATGCTCTCATTAATGGGGGGAAGTGTGCATCTCTGTGTCATAATTTGTCTAATTCTGAGATAGGTGTTTAAAGTGGCTCAGTTGAGTCTCAGCCAAAGAAATACCCGTATCACTCTTTCTGGCTAAGGGGAACTGAGATAATTTTTGTTCAGCTGTAAATATCTATACTGTAAACTGCTTTTTTTTACTGCTTATGGTTGCTGCAGAGATTCTTGAAAAGGAACTCTTGCAGATCTCAATATAAAACTTGCTGGGCACATATGCAGTCAAAATTGGCAACAAAGGAGATAATCAGACACAGTTTGATTATGAGTTGCCACCCTGATGACAGATGAAAGCAGGGATGTGTTACTTCAAGGTGCAGCTGAGGGAAGAATGTCTTAATGCTGTTGCATGGGAAAAATTGTTATGTCCTCCCTCCCTGTGTACTAACTTGCTACTAGGCCTGTGAACATCTGTATTTGGAAGCACTGGAATTTACGTCTTTTTTATGTCTTGACTTGGGTGAAAAATATGTATATCTTCTGTCAGTTCAGACAGTACTCTGTCATCTGCTGCAGAGAGAGCTCGGGGAGAGCTCCCAAAGGTAAACAATCCAGTGCTCTGGAGGATACCTGCCTACTTGCCTGTGGTAGTTGAAGGCACTTAGGAGTGCTCGCCTTACCATGCTAGGTTGCCCCTAAGATTAGCTGGGTGGGGCTCTGTGAGAAGGGAGAGGGTGACTGATGACTATTTATTGTTCTCCACAGCAGCAAGATAAATTGCCATTTTGACTCAGAGGACCTGAGGTCAGTCAGGAGCCTCCCATTTCATAAGCCTTGAGAAGCTCCAGGAAGCTGGCACCAGTGAAGAACTGAGGACCAGCAGAGTCTGTAGGTAATGTGCTGGAAACCAGGGACTATCCATGGTGTGATCTTACCCCAAATCTACCCATGACAGCTGTCTGTTATACCTGATAACATCTCAGCACCCAAAACAGCCCACTGCTATTACCAGGCCTGGCTGGACGAAGTGGAAGGCAAGCTTGAGGAATAAGTATTGCATTATTATATCGAATAAATTGTAGGCTAGCAGTTGTTGTTACAGATTAAATAGAATCTAAATGACTTAACACCCATGGAATCTCTGCCTTTTGTCTTCTTCTCCTCTTAGTCTACTCTTCTCCTTAATCTCTTTTTTTATAACCTCTATTTTATCATAAGTAATATTGTGTGTATTCAGCAATTAGGTTTACTTGCTGATCACCATAAACTCAACTGGCACTGGTATTTGAGGAGGTACCAGAATCCCTCTAGGGAGAGCCACAGGAGACTCTGCTGCTCTGAAAAGTTAGGCTACCTCAGCAAGAACTAGGTAGTACAGCATCTGTGGAGGGTCACTAGAAGTTGATTACCTTGTTTTTTGTACCATGGACTGCATTAGGCTGAAATGACTTGCCTAAGATCTTAAAACAAGGCAGTGACAGAGCTGGAAATAATCCCTGAAGGCAAATGCTATTTGTAACATATTTTCTGCAATTATTGATTTATTTGGGTGGTTTCTGGTTGATTACTGCAAATTAAAAAAATAAAATAAAATTTCCACATTACTGAACTTTTGGCATCCACATTTGATTTTAAATCCAAGGATGTCTGTGTCTATGTCACTACTCATCGACTTTCTTAAATCCACCTTACATGTAATTTTTAAATTTTCCTAGCTATAACTCAACTGATTTCAATTACATTCTGAAGAGATGGGGCAGACTGTGGTCCAATAAAAAAGCAAGTAACAAGAAGATGTAAGAAAGCAATGACTTAAACATGGTGGGAACCGCTACCATTAACTTTAAAGATTATTTAGTGCATCTCATTCTAATTCCTTTGTATATAATTATACAGGTTAAAAGTCCCTTATATTCCCCAAGACTCTGAAACAATCTAATGTCTAAGATTTTAATCTGCTTGAAGTCCCTGGCAAAACTATTTTGGACTGCAGTTCAGAAATTATCTTTTGTGCCATAGCCTGAAACTTAACCCATCATCTTCATCCCCTAGCCTTAGAAACAGTTTAGCCTGAGCAAATAACAAATGCCCTACAGAAATGGGTTTAGACATTAAAATCATCTGTCCTGCCTTCTCCTGTGCATCCTGCAATATTAATACTGTACAAAACACAACCCTATTGTCACAGAGGTAATAATATTTAGTGTTAGGCTTGTGAATACAAAGTGAGAGTTTATACTGTTTTCTAGCAAATCAGAGGAACGGTGAGATGTTTACGCACAAAAGGTATCTTGCCTGGTTTCTCCATGCTTGATACTGCCTAGGCAGTTATGAAAGAAGAAATTACTGCTGTGTTTTTACACAAAAAGAGAAAATTTAATGCAATTTGGACCATTTTGTAGTCTTCAGAATCTGCCACATTCTCCCTGCCACCCAAATTATTTTAAATTATAACTAGTTTTGCAAGGCTGTTAGTATTATTTTCTCAGCTCACCCAAAGTTTTTGCAAGACTTATTATCTGTGATGAATCACAACATCTTTTATTCATATAGTTATAAGTGCATTAAAGCTGTCAGGTATAATTTGCCGCTTTCTCTCCTTTTGATTCAGCATGCTTTCTGAAAAGAAGCTAATTTAATAACTAGGGAATCTAAGTTTTATAATCAAATTTATTATATTTACCAGACCTGAATTTCAGATGGAATAACATTAAAAATGTGCTTGAAAAGAGCAGAATTGCCAGTGGGCATTGAATTAGCAGCCTGAAAAATATCTAATAATGTTGTGATCAAGAGTGTTATGATGATGAAAGAAGAAAGAAGAGGAATTCTCTTTGTCTTTATTTGTAGTTTTTACAAATTGTACAAACTGAAATGAAGGTTGGAACATCAGCCCAAAGCTTCAGTTCAGGGGAAAGAGTGTTCTCTTTTTAGATGTTTTGGTGATTTTCAGTGTGCCCATATAACGTAGCACTGCAACTCTGCCTACAGATCTCTAAATTACTGCTAGAGGAGTAGATTCTGCTGTCTATGTGCATATATGAGCACTTGCCACTGTACACTGCGTACCAGACGTAGTCCCATGAGTTCTGCATCCACCAGATTTCTGCTGAATTCTGGATAAGGTTTGTGCTTGGAAGGCTTCTGAATCAAGGTTTCATGCCAGAAGGTGCTCTATAAAAGGCCAGTTTAAAAGGAACTGAACAAAAACCCAACAAAAGTAAGTCTTTTCCTGTTGCTCATGTTAGTGTCCTCTGAGTCTTGGTCCCCTAATCCTCTTAGCCAAGTTTGTGGCACAGATTGTATTTTATTTACAGATATAGGTTAACACAGCCTGTTATTTTGTGATCACATTAGTTTCATTTGTACTGTGGAGGTTTTTAATTCCCAAAGGTGCTGCCAGTTTTTGTGTACCCAATTTAAGTTTAAGCAGAGTTTTTGTTTTTCCTAAGGACTTTGCTGCAGAGTTTCAGGTATTTAAAATATGAAGTTGTGGTTCTCTTTTGATTCATCGTCTGTTAAAGAATGTTGGCTGTACTAAAACTGGCAATGAGGCTAAACAAGAATAAAAAAGAAGTATTCCAGAGAACCAAAATATTGTAAAGTATTTGTCTTCTGAAGGTATGTTGCCACTTAGCACACACTGAGAATAATGACCACACAAATACAAATAAAGAAAATTCAAAAAATCTCTGAAATTTTGCTTAATATTGAAATGATTAATTGAAGGAAGAGCTTGTGTTTTGAACAGTTCTACTGAGCTTTTTCATGAAGGAGATTGTATGGATGTGATACATCATTGACAGGACACAGTAAGTCAACTGTTCATCTGGCTCTGCTGTAGCTCTAACCCTGCACAGCTGAGAATGTTCACATCAGGCGGGGGAGGATGATATATTAAGTCCATGCAGTTCAGAAGATATGTGTGCTGCAATGCAGAGCCCTTGGTGCTGAAGGTAGTTTTGACAAAGAATTTGTGGCACAGGGGCCATAGGTGGTACAAAGATACAGGGTCTACCTCTAGAATTCCATATTCTTTTAGTCTCTGTTTTACACATATAGTTCTTTGAGAAATCTCATAGTTTGAGGATGACAAATTTAATAAAACAGTTGAAGAGGATCAGATTGTTATACAAGAAGACCTAAATGAACTTTTAGCGGAAGGGTAGGAACAAGACAAAATGTCGTAATACCCAGTGCAAGGTCACTGGGTATTAAGTGCAAAATGCTAGAATTCTGCACCAAATGCTCAATGATTCAGAGCTTGAGGACTCCATACATCAATGAGTACTTCTTGCTTCTGTCATCAAACAGCCACACCAAAGCATGAAAGGCAAGGCTGCAGTGGAATTTGAAGCTGAGATGGCTCCATACTGAGAGCAGAACTGGAGATGAGATCAAAGATGATTGAATTGAGTTGATTGCCCCTTCCTGAAAAGATAAAGAAGCAGGAAGGTGTAAGAACCTTTCAATAATTATAAGCAATTAGAGGGAAAAACCCAAACCCCAGAAGACAAGACATAAAAACAGCTCGCATGACGTTGCAATCTCATAGCTTATGTTGTCAGCAAAACCAGGTTGGATGAATTTCTGCAGACTCAACAGTAATTGCCATGCAGCAGCAGTTAGTACTGTTGAAATGCTGGAGCTGAAGGGAACCAGCTAGGCTGTAGTGACTGGGAACAGATGTCCTCTGAAGAGCATGAGACAGCATTTTGCAATGTGAGAGAAATCTTTGCCTGTCAGTCTAAACTGGTGACTTGTTTGGTGGACTGGGACAAGTATCTCTCATGAGATAGGAATTTTACCTTTTTCCTTCTTTTGTGTCACTAGATACCCTGTCTGGTTCTCAGTGAAGATGTAACGGTCTATTTTTGTAAATGCAGCCTAATGGACATTAATTTTTAGCAGTTACATGTATTCTAAATATCAGCATTAGGACTGGCAGGGGTGCCTGCATTTGTGAATATATTCAAGAAGGAGTTTAATGTTAGGAACAGTTCTTCTCCAGCTTATTGTGAATTAATGTTTTGTAATGATCTGGATGCAACTGACCTTGATTTGAGCAGGTTATATTCCCTGTTGGATTAAGAGGGGTTAAGCTCATGCAGTTCTATACAATTGAGCAGTTTTAACTGGAGCCAATTCACACAATTGCCTCAGGAGGTTTGAGGTTGCTGCCTAATATTTTTGGCCAGTGGACAGAAGTAGGATTTGCATTTTCAGCCTGACAAGGGTGGCTGAAGTCTTGAGGGTCAAAGCAGCCACAGTCAGCCCTGAGTCCCCTAACACACAATAGCTGTGAGCTGTACGCCCATGCTGCCCACGTAAAGTGAAGGGGAGTAGTCAGACTGCTCTGTATTTGATAGGAAAAGGAGTGAAGACTCTGATCTCTGTGCTTAAATGCTGTTCCAAAGATGCAAAAAATGTGTCATTTTACCTTCTACTCAGTAATAGCTTATCTAAGCTTATCTTAGATACTCTTGAAAGGAATTATTAGAAAGGCCAGTTACAGGCAGAATTTAGTATTGAACTTTGAAATGTTCTTCGGCTCATGGTGTATATTGATTGCATGCTGTCTTGTTGCCTGCACCAGCTTTTCTTTTCAGTTTGCTTAAGAAGAATCATGTGAATAAAAAGGTACCATGGATAAAAACGTACCATGCTTATTAGCCTTCTTGGCAGCTCATGTCTGTTCTCCATAACCTGGCAGGATTACCCCTGTGACTACCCAAATACTCTAAAGCAAAGATCATAGCTGAATATCCTATGAAATAGGAAACCTTCAGTGATTTCTGTGTATCCTATGAAATAGGAAACCTGGAGTGATTTAGGCTGGGTTGACATAATTTTCAGAAAGGCTAAGGAGGTATGAAGTGATGTAAAGTGATTATTTTAAATTTTCATGAGAAAAAAATACCACAGATTAATGGAAACATAATCTCACTACAAAAAGATGAGGCCGGGAAATTAAAGCAGCCAGGAACTTAAAATCAGGCACTGAAATCTTTATCCTTACTTAGGTCATAAGTAAATAAATAGTTAAAGACATTGAAGACTCATATCAGCCCCATGCAGTGCTGTAGATTTGGGGAAGAGTGGCTGGAAAGCTGCCCAGCGGAAAAGGACGTGGGCATTCTGGTTGACAGCAGCTGAACATGAGCCAGCAGTGTGCCCAGGTGGCCAAGAAGGCCAATGGCATCCTGACCTGTATCAGCAACAATGTGGCCATCAGGACCAGGGCAGTGGTCATCCCCCTGTACTTGGCACTGGTGAGGCCACACCTCAAGTGCTGTGTTCAGTTTTGGCCTCCTCACTACAAGAAGGACATTGAGGTACTGGAGCATGTCCGGAGAAGGGCAACAGAGCTGGGGTAGGGTCTAGAGCACAAGTCCTGTGAGGAGCAGCTGTGGGAGCTGGAGGTGTTTAGCCTCGGGAAAAGGAGGTTCAGAGAGTACCTTACCACTTTCTGCAAGTACCTGAAAGGAGCCAGGTAGGTGTTGGTTTCTTCTCTCAGTGTAACGAGAGACAGGATGAGAAGAAATGGCCTGAAGTTGTGCCAGGGGAGGTTTAGATTGGGTATTAGGAAAAATTTCTTCATGTAAGAAGTTGTCAAGCATTGAAACAGGCTGCCCAGGGAAGTGGTGGAGTCACAATCCCTGGAGGTATTTAAAAGTCACATAGGTGTGGCACTTGGGTTTAGTGGTGGTGGTCGTGGCAGTGTAGAGTTAAAGGTTGGACTCAGTGATGTTAGGTATCTTTTCCAACCTAAACAATTCTAGGACTCTATGAAGAGATCTTAATGGACCTAATTTTCTCCATGTACTTTTTGCAGTTCACTTACTGAGCACTCATGTGAGGCATCTTCAGAGGTTTTGAATGTAATTGTGCAAAAAGAGACACCAAGGACAGTTCTGAGAATCTTAGCCTTTCAGTCTTAATTTTAGGCTCCATTTTTTTTAATATTTGCCCTTATGGAATGCATAATTTAAAATTATTTCAGTAATGGAAGTTATTTGATTCTCAGTTCTTGAAGAGAGACTCCACATATAAAACATCCTTATAAATGACTGACTCTTTTCAAAGCATATTACTGACATGGTTATTTTTCGATTGTGGCATTTGTGTGTCCTCCAAATTTATTTTTAGTTTTCAGAAATGCTAAGAAATAAGTTTCATTCTTACTGTTAATAGAAAACTCTAGTGCCTTAACTTTTGAGAAGCTTTGAAATAAAATTTCAAAGTGAATTTGAAGTGTTTCATAGACTTTGCATTATATAGACTTTGCTTAAACCCAAGGGAAATTGTATATATAATAATAATAAACAAGGTTTGCTCTTGTTGCCTGAATACTGTAAAAAGGTGTTTAAAATGACTAGACAAAAAATTATGAAAGCAGCATATGACTTAAGTTATAAATAAAATATGGCAACTACTGGACATGGGAAAAATTTCGTGACAGTCAAATCTACAGAGAGGACTATTCAAGAACATTTACTAAGCCCTCTGTCCTCACACTTTTACAGTTGTGAGTAAAGTATTTTGAGCAGCTAGACTGCAAACAGTCTTTTCAGAAATTCACTGTGTGACCATGCAAATGTTTAAGCAATTCTTAGATTTTTTTACTCATCTCCCTGTGCTTGGTGTACCTGGGTTTTGCTTTAATCTGTCCTTGTATAGTGCCTTCTACAGTTTTCTAATTATGTAAGCTGTGACCAAGAATGGCCCACAAATTCTGAGTGTTTGTAATGATGAACTGTAAGAGGATTTTTTTACCTGAGAGAATAAAAGATTTAAATGTGTTTGTCTTGTGTTCATATAAATTGTCAGAGCTCTAGCAATGGAGGGGTGCTGTGACAGCTTACCTAATCAGGGAGTTTGCTCCATTTTTTTTTTTTGAGGAATGGAGTTTGCAGTGTCATCACCATTACCCCACTGGAAGACACAACCAGAGAACATCTCTATAGAGGAGGGAGTGAGCTTGCCAGCTCTGTATATCAGAACCTCTCCTTAGCAGCCCCCAGCAGAGCAGCAGAACCAGGTTCCCAGATACAGAGCTGGAACGCTCAGATGATTACAAGAATACAAGGTATGAATTCCAGAAAGTTCAAGCAAATTCCTTCTGCTTGTTCATATCAAGATTTATACAAATAGCATAACACAAGGCTTGGCAAGATAATTTTCCTTCAGTTTTGCCATGTGTTTCTTCACAAGCCTGTCCCCCATTAAAAAAAGCAGGATACCTAATACTAAACGTCTGCCTGATGTCTCAAAATTTGCATGCATAGTTCTGTTGGCTGCAGTGCTACTGCAGTAAGGGCAAGCTAGTCACAGCCAATTTGTCTGTATCTGCAGAAGTGAGTTCTCAGTGCTTGGTTTTGCTCTTAAGTCAGTCCCTGAGAGTCCCTGACAGTAATTGTAATTCTCCTCAAACCTACAGCAATATTTAAAGCGGGGGAAGCACAGGAACCTCCTGAACAGTTTCTTTTCCCATCGCCTGTCAGTGATTTCACTGCAATGCCTAGAAAAAGCAAAGTAGTTCAGACGGCATCTATTTCTGGCGTGAAATCCTAGTTGTGGATTCCCAGTGCTGATGTGTTTTTCAGACCCTCTGATGAATTTCTAAGCTTTCTTGGAATAACAGCTTCTGGGAGGGGACTGGAATTCCTATGGTGGATTTCAGGTTCGCAGACTTTGATGAAATCTAAACAACAGGGTGGGAAAGCTGTTTTTTGTCAAGAGCAGCTATGAAGGCAGAGAAGCAAATTCTTGTCAGTAAAGAGCATTTCATCTCCTTGTCCAGGTTTTCTGAGAAATGAAGGGTGGGATGTGAAAACCCAGTATAAATTTTGAGGGGTGGGGGCAGAGGAATGAAGACTGCTTTCTGTTCCGCTCCTCCACAGGGAGGAGAAATCCTAGGTAGGGGTAAAGATACAGCCTGGTACTCAGAAGTGTGTTGGTGACCCTCATAAAAGCAATGCCTTGAGAAACAGAGAGAGGAAGAGAAAGTCACATCGAGGGATGTGTAGGAGCTCAGAACCACTGTAGTTAGTTTCTTTTTCCTTTTCTGGAAAGCCTCATTTTCACTTACTTCGAACCTAGAAGAGACTGCTTTTACTGTTTATTAACTCCCTGTGTAACAGCAAACATGGGTTGCAGCTGTTCATGACAAAGATCTGGAGGAGAAAAACTCCTCATCTGAAACACCTTAGTAGTTGCTGCATCACAGGCATTTCCAATTCTTCACCAGCAAATGGGACAATATATAAAATACTTTCCGTGGCTCACAACAGCATGTGAAAAGATTATGCTGTGGCAATTTGTACAGTATGGTCCTTTCTCTCCCCCTTCACCTTTTGCTCAGTTCCTTTGTAAACTTATTCAGATTGGGCAAACAGAAATAGCTTAAACAGAAGATGGCAATCCTCTATGGGGAATGGCTCAGTAATCTTACAGTCCCTCAGCTCCCCACAGCTACTGACTTCCCCAGAGCAGCCCCTTTTCTCCCTGTACAAGGGGGAAGGGTCTCCAGTCTTCCTGTAAAAGCAGTAAGTTCAGAAGAAAAGAGCAAGACTCTAGTCAGAGATGCTTTTGTCTTGGCCAGCCAAAAGGAAAACATTAGTACATACCCAGGGCAATTATTTAAAGCAAATGGTTAAATCATTTTCTGTCCCTTCACATCACTGAATCAGAGTGCAGTTACATACTGTTGAGTTATTGGTGAAATAGCAACAGAATGATTAAGAAAATCATCAGGCAAAACCACGCAAAATATGTTACTTATCAACAAAGTAATTGGATAGCATTTAAGCGAGTGAAACAGACATAGGCATGCAGAGGATTATAACTGTAGCAGAGAGTGGAGGTTTCCAAGTGACTACATTCCAAGTGACCCAGCTATATTCACTACCAGCAAACAGAGGACTTTGTCATCACTACACTATCTCAAGGAACCACAATGAGAGGGGACAGTCACCCAAGAGGTATCATCGTTTCCCAAAGAATGAGAAATTATAAATGAGAGAGGAGGAAAGCTTTGGAGAGGAAGAAAACAAACCCAAATTCTGAACTCTGTTAGATGGTTAACAAATTGTATTTCATGAGAAGAATAACTTCTAAGTGTGTTGTGGTTCAGTGGTTACAACAATAGTCAGAGTAAAAATGCAATATATAATACTGATAAAAATGTTAAAAATGGGAAGGGAGAGCGAGTATAAAATTTATTTACAAAATGGGAAGACTGATAAAGTCATGAAGTTAAGCTGAAGAGTACAGGAAGAAAATCAGTCCCTGACGGTTTTAAATAGAAATTCAAATTTTCTAAAACATTTGTACAGCATAAATTCCTAGTGATGGTGTAAGATCTTTTGTTAGATGGAGATAATACATAACTGATTTGGGTCTGGTAAGGAAGAAGATGATGGAGATGGGGATACTGAAATATTTTCTAGTTCATTAGCAGAAAAGGAGAATCCTTAGTAAACATGGGATAGACAACTTAAAGAGCTGATCTTATGGTGTGTCAGAACATCCCACATGAGCACAGATGTCCTCCCTTCCACAAGCACAGCCTCCAGCATCACTTCCACCCCACTCAGCTGTGGGCTCACTGCTGTCTCAGATCTCTGCATGCCAAGGCCATGCCCAGGGCTCCCTTGTCCTCGGCGACTACTGCCTGCCTCAGCAGCACTGGGCACACGATGCCTGCCCAGCAACTGAGGTGCGTGTAGCCCCGTGCTCCCCCTTGGCTCTCCATAGGTTGCTCAGCTGGTCCCAGCCATGGGGACACGGTCAGCCACCGTGACCGGCTGAAGGGATCGCAGAGACGAATGGTGTCCCTGACTGCCCCATTATGGTCTTGCTCGTCAGCTCTTCGTTCTGCTGGTTGGGACCGTGGCGCTGGGCCCCCCTCCCCGCCTCTGGCTGCGCGGTGCTGACGGCACCCTGGACAGGCGCTGTCCCTGGAGCTCTCCTCCTGCCGCGCTGCCGGCCAAGCCGCCCGCAGCCAGGGCACGGCCCGGGCCCGCCGCCCGCCCTGCCGGGGTGGTGCGGCCGCGCTGTCCCGCAGCGGGGGCCGGGGCTCCGGGCGGGCCGCGGGCTCTGGCGTGGCACGGGGAGCGCTGGCCGGGGGCACGGCGGGGCCGCCCCACTGGCTTCGCCCGCTAGAGGGCAAGAGAGGCCCGCACAAGCGCGGCGGGGCGGCTGCCCCTGCCCCGCAGCCCCCGGTCCCGCTCCGGCCCACGTGGGGAGCAGCCCCGGGTGGTCGCTGCAGGCCACGGGTCAGGGCCATTCGGGAGGAAATTTTCTGTTTGGCCACGAAGCCGTAGATGGAGAGGCAGTCACTTCCATCGGGAAAGCTATCAAGGCCTTTGGCCATCCCAGAAAGCGGGCGTAGAGCCATCATGGAGCTGGCACGGACCTTCTCCATCGGGCGACAGCCCGCTGGGCTGCTGCTGTGCCTGCTGCAGCGCACATGGAGCGAAAAATGGGGCCACCCACGCACCTCCTGCCCAGCTGGGCAGGTGCTGAAAGGCACCTTCTCCCTGCCCTGGGCAGGCGACGACGACAAGCTGATCGGTGGCTGCAGCTCCAGTCTAGCACTGGTAAGTAGCATCCAGCTATGGTGAAGCTCTGGGCCTTGGTTGGTGTACGAATGCTGCCTCATCCTTCAGGTGGTGAACTATCTCCAAAGGAAGTGTATTAGCCAAAGGAAGAGCCTCAGAGATGCACTGTAGCCTGCTGACAAACCATCCCGAGCCTGCATCCGCAGATGAGCACTGACAGCACGGGAGCATGAAGAAACCAGAAACCTCTGATTAGACACTGTGTGCTTGGGCAGGAAAGGTGCACAAGGCAAAGCACTGGAAGTGACAAACATGTTCTCAGGGTGAGAACATGTGAGTTCTGTGAGCCGTGCTGCAGAAACTTATTGCCATGTGGAGGCCTCTGCAGTCACCTGCACACGTGGCAACTCTGATTACCTCCACTTTTCTCCTTCCAATCAGTGTCACTTTGGCTCTTGACCTATCGGAACTTGCAACATCATGGAAAATCAATTTATTACTAAAAACAGCAGATACCAGCCACGTACAAATAAACACATCACAGAAATTTCAAACATATTTGGCAGCTTTCATGCTTACATCACCCTGTATACCTTCAAGTAGCACCTAAAAGGACACATATTCCAAAACATTATATTGACATCCGTGTCAATGCACTCGACTGTATCTGACTGATAGCGATATTTTTACTTTTGTGCTTAAATTAAGGTATCTTAGAACATGGAGCCTGATAACTCCGTCCCTATGATCGTCATATTCTGCCAGTGCTTATTTATGTGAATTCACTAATTCCTCTGCAACGCAAAATACCACAACACCATGAAAAATTCATGTCAGATATCCCACGGTCACTGTGTATTACATGGTGACATTGACACTGATGTTTTCTTGGAGTTTTCTGTCTAAACTGCATATTTTACACTCCTCTAGTGTGAAAATTTGATGAACTGGGAGGAAGCCCTTTTCTGTTGTCTTCTGGAATTCTTATAGGAATCTTTTTGGTAATAAATACTGCTATTTTTTTCTACAGTCGCTGAAGTGAGAAAGCAAATACATTCCTCTAGCTCAAGTTTTCTAAACTTGTAGGCATTTCTTATGTTAATCCAATTAACCTGATTCACACTGGGTTTTTTGTTTATTTGGTTTTTTTGTTTGTTTTTTTTTAATTTTCACAAACATTGTGGCTTTTTCCAGGCAATCTAATGTTTCATAATCATAACCTTCAGTAATTTTTCATTGCTGAGGTGACTTGAGTTTTCTTTGGAGTGTGAATTTGTGCAGCTGTATTAATAGTTTGGTGCCCTCACCACCCATGCTGGGGAAATTATCAATCACATGTATAATGCAGCAGGTGGGATCCATCCAGTCCTATCTAGGCCTCTGTCATGTAGAAGTCTACATCTAATATAGGCTCCCTTCATACACGAGGAAGAACTAAGCATCTTTAGAGCATGAGTCATGCCATCCTAAAGTAGACGCCTGGAATAGGTCAGATGATTTGTGCCCTAAAATTGCTCCTATTTATCTATGTTAAAGAACAAGTAGTTTATATCTTGAAGTCTCCATTCTAGCAGCCTCAAGTGAAATGAGATTACTTAATAGTCTTATATCCAGGTTTATATCATGCTTCAAAATACCCTAAAAGTCCTTATTTGTCAAGAAGACTGAAAATAGCATTACTTTTTGTATTTTTATATCTTTGTCCATTTGTAGAAAGCTTTTAAAAGTTTTTTGCCTCAAGACATTTTAGTAAAAATGGCAAATGCCATGCATTTTATGGGAAAGTTGTTACACCTCTCTTTTTAATAATGTAATTCTTTCAGTTGTCTATCTGCAAGGCTGGGAAATCAATTAGTTAGATGCATAAAAGGTCCAGAATAAGATTCTTTACTCTCAGTGAAATTATGCAATTTGGAGGAATGAAAAAAAAACCATAAACCAAGAAAAAACAGGCAAGCTGATTTACTTTTTAAATGACAGTCAAAAATTGATATGTAAAAAGATCATTTAAAGTGAGCTGGTTGGCACACTACAGGTGAAACAGTTTTATTTTTAAAAAGTCGCGATATCTAAAACTTGGCAGAGGTGTCACGTTAGTGTGGTACATGTGAGGACACCGTGTGCCAGGAACTCCTCAAGACATGGAGGATCCTTCTGACCAACTCTGCTCTCAGAAGTTAAAATCCTGCATAAAGCTGATGAGTAAGCTCTTGATGACTCACTGTGGCAGATGCAGTCTTTAATTCCAGGAGGGTATAAAGGAAGTGGGTGTGAATCTCGAGTAGAGGGGAGCTAGGGATGTTCCTGCCTCAGTGTCTCGGGGATAAAAGTGTAGGTTTTTAATACAGCCCCAGCTATCAGCAATGCCAAACTTCTGTAAGGAGTAAGTTTGACATTACACATCACACATACATTTTATGTGAAGCAGGGTTGGAACACCACCTACTCACAGATGGGTATAATTTTGGGGATGTCCTGCATAATTCATGTGTGGCTTTGATACTTATGAGTAATTCAGACATCAAAGCCTCAACTTAGATAACACTTTTATAACACTAAACTTCCTATAGCAAATAACCTATGGGCTTTCATTTAAGTTCTCTAAAAAAAAGGCAACTATACCAATACTTTCTTCTTGACTGTCAGATATTTTTCATAAGGTATGCTGGTGTGAGGTACAAGATGGAAAATACTGAAGCCTGAACTAGAGAAAAAACCCCACATAATACTCTTCACTGGAACTAGAAATGTAAATTTTAAAGCACTGGAAAGTTGCTGGGAGCCTCTTTCCCTGTTGCTTCTAGACTGAGAGCACACCAGATACCAGGCTCTTTGGTCTCTCAGCAATATTCCCTCTGCCAGTGGCACAAACCTGCACTTTTCAGCAGTCCAATTTCCTAATAAGCAATGTTATGTTCTCTTCCAAGTTAGCCATTATGCTTGAAAAAATCTCCCCATTAATAACCATAAAGCTCCTTTATTGTTCTCCTTCAAATCTCCTTAAAACCTTCTTCTGACACCAAACACTTGTCACTGGCCAGGCCTGTTGCTTTTTATTCTCAAGGCTGTTTTTCCCTTATCCTTCCCCCATGGGTCTGTACTACACACCTGTTGTCTTTCATCATGGGTTAAGATCATAAGCTCTTTGGGCATAGACCATCTCTCTTATTACATGTGTCTACAGTATCCGACACAATGGGACTGTGAGCCCTGAATGGGGCCTCTGGGTACTGCCATGATCGAGTTGATAAAGAATAATGATTTTTGACATGGTGAGTTCTGCAGTTTTTCCCAAGTCATTCTGCAGTTGTTCACGCTGATATAAGCAGTGTGTGTGTGAGAGCAGTGTCCTTAAACCCGATATACAGGGTAAATGCTTTGGCACTATTTGCCAGAGAGCAGTGACTTTCCTGCTTTGTTGTTAGGGGTTTTTCTGCTCTTGCACATCAAAATGCATGGACTGACACGCAGCAACTGTTTCTTTTTGTGGGTTTGTACAGAACTAGTGATGTGACCCTGCTCTGAAGCTTCTATATCCCGTCCTTCAACTTGCAATAAAGACTGACGGAGTCAAATAAAAGGGGGTGGCTTGTTGGAGTGTGTCAGTTCCATAAAGGTCCGTGGGGATTTAGGACACAGCTTTTCCCTGCAGTTTCCCCGCTAGATGTGGAAACTAGTCTCTCTCCCTCCTCTTATGTTTAGTCACACTGGCAAGTGGGGGGATGCAGAAAGGCTGCACCAGTGAGAGCTGGACTGCTAGCTTTTGTGGTGGAGAAGGCAAGGACAACTGCCCCCTCCACTGCATGCCCATCAAGCAGGAGGATGTGCAGAGTCGATTATTTTTAATTAAGCCTCTAGGAAAATTCTCCTTCTCTAGAATTCTGTTTCCAGTCTCCACCAATGACCTTCCTGAACCCCGCTACCTCAGCAGTGCACATCATCATTCACACCAGGCAATCTCTCCCCTCAGCCCCCAAGATATTAAGTTTCTTCTCCTTTTCTCCCTGCCTCTTTCTCTCCCCAGCATTCCCAGAAGAGCCTATGTTCAGGTTTTGCACTCAATTCAAGGGACTGCCGGATAGTCCTCTCTCTCTTGCAAGGTTCTGCATTGTGCTCGGTCCTTGAGGTCTGCTCAAGAATTCTTCTGCAAAGGCAGGAGACCCTCTGTCCCGTTGCTGGTTAACACAGCAGTTTTTTAAGGGCAAAACCACAATAATACCAATCCTGAACATCATAAGAGGAAACAGAAACCCTCTCTCCCCTCACCGGGTCTCTCGTGACAGTTTTAAATAACTTTTTTTTTTTTTTTGAGGGGGGGGTGGCGTGGGTGAAAGGAGAACACGTACTTCGCATCGCACCCCCGCTTCACCCCATGCCACCTCCTGGCCGTCTCTTCCCTCCCTTCACCGGGTTCATAAATACTAGGGCCGAGGCCGGGCGGGGGGAGCCCCGGTTCGCCCCCGGAGCGCTCCGGGCGGTAGCAGGGCCCTGGCGCTTACCCGCACTGGCATCCCCGAAACTGCTCCTCCGGCAGCGCAAGGGCAGGGCGAGAGCGCTGCGGGCTGCCGGGGCGGGGGGCCAGGGTGGAGAAGGCAAGAAATGCGGCGCGGGCGATAAGGACCCCCCAGACCAGCCCCAGCTCCCGAACTTGACGCGCCCCGCCGGAGCTGAGTTTGAACCCCGCCTGGGACAGCGGCAGCCCGGTTACCTGCGGCAGAGCGGGCCGGGGCTGCGGTGCGGTGCGGGGCGGCCTCGCCTCCGCCTCCCCTGCGGCGGGGCCGGGCCCCGGGCCGGGCTTGGGCTGGGCAGGCAGGGCGCTGCCCGCCCCGCTCCCCCCGCCAATGTCAGGGGGACTCGGGCTATGCGGGCATCTCCCGAGGAGCCCGCTCCCCGCAGCGGGCGGGCGCGGTATATTTAGCATCGCGTCGCTTTATTCCTCCCCCAAAGTTTCGCCCACTTATTTATTTATTTGCCGGCGAGCGCCGCGCTGCCGCAGAGCGGCAAGAGCCGCTCCGCGCCGTGCCGAGCGCTGGAAGCGGCTCGGTATTGCAGCAGGTAGAGCTGAGCGCTAGGACCTCGGAGAATCCTTCCAGCAGCAATCAGGACTACCTTAAACCCAGCCCAATGCCTCTTCCTGCGCCACTCTGCGTGCTGGATGGAGATCCACAGTCAAGAGCTGCAGCTCAGTGCTGGAGTACAACATTTCACAGGGAGCCCTGCAGAAGCAACACCTGTTTCGAGCCAGCCAAGAAAGACACAAGCACTTGTATGTTGCTGCTTTGCTTGTGGATCGTCAATAATCCTAAACCAGTGGACATCTGCTGAGCCTCCTGAGAATTCTGGATAATAGATTTGGACGTCAAAAGTTTTTTTTTCCTTTTTTCTTTTTTCCTTTTTTTTTTTTTTTTGGATTTATCTCAGCCAACAACGTGAGATTTCCCCCCTCCCCCTTTGCAGGATTCATGCTGATGTATGCAGTCTGTTATAGAGTAAAAACAGCGCATGCCTTTCTGGAATCAGAATCCATAAATCCTGACGTAGCCTGTGCATCTTAAAAAAAAAAATCCCTATAACGCCTAGGTATTTAAGTTGCTATGATCATTCTTATCTTAAACCAAATGGAGAAACTACGGATTTTTTTCTTTATTACAGTTGGATGGGCTGAAGACCGTATTGCTTGCTAAGAGCTGGGGATATATGCATTTATATAGATATACACATCTATATGTTTATAAATATGTCAGTGTGTGAGTATAAAGTGGTGGTTTCTTAGACTAACTGGTTTGACCTTGAACCTGTACCAGTCAAAACAGAATATTACTTTTATTTATGCATTTAATGGATTGAAGAAAGAACATTTTCTCTGTAACTGCGCTAGGGAGGGGAGAGGAGTGGAATATACCTAATCTTATATCTCCTGGGTTTGGCACCATCATTATTGTTTATTCTCATTCTCTAAAAGCAGAATCTTCTGATGGCTCCCTTAGGTGAAGTTGGGAACTATTTCGGTGTGCAGGATGCAGTACCCTTTGGGAATGTGCCCGTTTTGCCGGTGGATAGTCCGGTTTTGTTAAGTGACCACCTGGGTCAGTCTGAGGCAGGTGGGCTACCCAGGGGGCCTGCAGTCACGGACTTGGACCATTTAAAGGGGATCCTCAGGCGGAGACAGCTATACTGCAGGACTGGATTTCATTTAGAAATCTTCCCCAATGGTACTATCCAGGGAACCAGGCAAGACCACAGCAGATTTGGTAGGTATTATCCTTAACCCTTTAGTGGTCATGTGATGAAATAATGGGGCAGAACTGCGGGCGGGGGACGGTGGGGGGTTCGAGGCGGGCGGGAAGGGGGGTTTGTGCTGATGGCTGATCCGCTGAGGGGAAAAATGAGTGTGTCCGGGGGTGCAGATGTACACGAGCGGCACCACCGCGGCGGAGCAGGAGCCCTCGCCGAAGTCGACGGGTGTTTAGTAGCGGTGTTTGTGTAGCCTCAAGTTCTGCTTAAGAGCAGACGCGTACTGGGAGGTGGTGGTGGTGGAATTTTTGCTCGGGACGTTTCTGCTGAATGATTTGATTTCGCGAGTTTAAAGGGTTTTTAATCATTAACCACGACAATTTAAAATTCACCGAGTTTCCTGGAGGGAGTGGCTCTCGTCCTATACGCAAATTGACGAGGGCTTTTCTTTCGTTTTCTCTGCCGATTACCTGCCCTAGTAACTGCCCGAACTGCACACCCAGTCTGGTTCGCTGCTCGGCGAGGATTCACCGGCAGCGCCAGCCGACCCGCAGCGGTGCTCGCCGCCCGCCGGAGCCCGCACCCGCAGCTGTGCGGCGTTGCCGGTGGCCGGCGCCCCGGGAAGGAGGGAGCGCAGGTGGGGTCCGGAACCCGCCGGGAATCCTGCGCCAAAATCTGCCTTTCCATAGCTGTGTGGCGTGTCAGGCTGGCAGCGAATTTGAAATAGCATTCCATGGATTTCCTTTCCAGGGACGCTGTTTGTGACTCAGCAGCGAGGGCTGAAGGGGCTGATGGCCCCGGCCGCTCCGGAGAGCCTGTGCATGCACACGCACACATCCACACATGCACATGCATATGCACACGCGAGTCCGGTGGGCCTGGAGCTTCCCTGCTGCCAAGGAGTCTGTTAAAGGCTTGGCAGATTGAATGCATGAAAGTAACTAAAACAGCCTTGATGAGCTGATTCTTTGTTGTTTTTTTTTTTTTTCTTAAGGAAGGGTGAGGAAAATACACCAGGTTAGCTCACCACGCTCCCAGCTGTTGGAAGGAGTTAACTTGTGAGTGAACTAACCTGACAGCACTTAAATTCGGTCGTAAAAACAAAGTCCTGTGGTGATTTTTTTCTCTCTTTGTATTTTAATGCCAGATGTTGAACGATATCTAAGCTGTATTTTATTGCTTTGTGAGGCTGTTTAGATAATGCTGGTGTTGTAGGAGATGATCTCCAAAGGGCTCAGAAGGGAAGGGGAGGGGGGGGGCGGGGGAAGAGAGGACTGAGGTTCTCGCATGGTCGCAGGTTCATCTTCCATCCCCCGCCATCCGCTGCTCCCTGACACTCTCATGCTGCTTACGGGCTCTACCTCCCTCCCACGCCGCCCACCCGCCCGGGATCCACGGGGGTGGGTGCAGGGCGAGTGGGAGCGTCGCGGCTCTCCCTGGGGGGCAACATCCAAGCTTGCTGGCGAGAAAAAGTGCGGAAAGTGTTTCAGGCAGCCGCGGAGTGAGGGGAATGGGGGGGCTTTTGCAGCTAGGCGTTTTCCTTGGCACATGCAGACGCCGTGCGTGGCTGCTGAGCTACGGCTGCAGGTTCCCCTAGCCCGCTGCGGTGCGGGCACAGAGCGGCAGGCGCGGCGCTGCGCGGAGCTGGCGAGGGAGGCGCGGTGCGGGGCCGCAGCAGGTGTAGGGCGCTGCGCACCGGCAGCCGGGGCGGTGCGGGGCTGGCTGCCCGCGGGGCCCCGCCGCCCCCAGAGGAGGGCCGCCAGCTGCTCCCCTTCGCAAGGCGGCGGTGACCACATTACTCGCGGCGTCTATTTTTAAAAATGGCTATCCAGCCGCAGTTGTAGGAAGCTGACAATTCCAAGGGGCAGCTCTTCCATCCCTTGCAGCGCCTTGGCTTTAAATAGATTGATTTCTTTTTTTTTTTTTTTTTCCTTGTCGGTTTGATCTCCCTCTCCCCCCGGAGGACTCGCCCCAATGATAACTCTTCTCCCATGGAGTGCGCCGGTGATGCCCCAGCTCGTTCCAGGGTCGGGCAGAGCGGGCACGGTGAACCCATGGGATGTGTTGGGGCTCTCGGCTTCTCTGGGGGAGGGAAGACGATCTCGGTGCTTTTCTATCGGTGCCCTGAGATTGTTGCTGTGTTTGCGGGGAGGTCACCGAATAGCAGATGCTATTTGGGTTTTGGTGATTGTAAAGTCTTGTGATGATCCTGGGGAGCTCTGCATCCCATCTCAGGAGCTGCCCGAGGGAGAAGGGGTTTACATGGTCTCCTCCGAGCGTGTGCAGGGAAACCTGCGCGCGCGTGTGTGTGAATGTGGGGGTACGCGTCAGAAGGAAGTTTTCCTTCAGGAATAAGGAGGACAAAGAGAAAACATCGGGGGCTGCGCGTAAACTCCTCTCTGGGCTCTGCCCTGTGGGAATCCCCCTCCCCGCACAAACACACACACACGCACACACCTCTGGAGAGACATCAGATAAGAGTAATTCTTTTGTGATGCTATGTTGGATGTGTGCCTATTGCATACAGTAAACCGAGCCATATTGTGTGTCTATACTCGCCCGGTTCTGGGAGCCCTGGCATTTCGCAATTCCTGCAGCAAGATGTCCATCTCTAAAAGAAAAGCTCCCCGGGAGAGCCCGGCTCGGTCCCCCCCGTAATGCGATCTCAGGTGATCAAAGTCTTATCTCACCTGGGTCACAAAAGAAATTTTTTTTGATGCAGTCTCCTTTAGTCTAGGGCACTGGCTAGACACTAGAGTCATTGTAAATTCAGGAACTCTGTAACAGCGGAGAGGCGTGCCTCTGTGCGTCAGCACAAGTACTGCATGCACAGCATTAAAAAAATAGGAGCATGCAGGAAAAGGAAAAAAAAAAAAGCTTGTCAGCAGGTGACCTCCGCTCCCCGGGACCTGCTGCTACAAGGAACCGCTGCGTTCATCATCTGCGAGAGCCGCGCAGCCGCCCGCCCTCCCGCTTTCCCGGCCCGCCCTGCCTGCTCTGGCGCTGGGCTGGCGGGGCGGGTTCAGGGCCGGGAGAGCGCGGGGGCGGCTACGGACGGGGGGTCCCTGCGGCTGCCCGCCTCTTCTGCTGCTGTATGCGGCGGGGCGGGCCTGGCCCCCACCCCGGTCTGCTGGCTCTCCCCAGAGACAGCACGGGCGGGAGGAAGGCGATGCGTGCGGGGAGGGCTCTGGCCCCCGGGACTGGGAATTGTGGGCCAGGTTTTAGGGGGAGGGAAGGGCGCCGAGCGGCCTCGACAGTCTCCCCCGCTACTGAGCGTTGCAAGGGGAGGGGATGAGGGGGAGCGGGCAAGGGTGCTATAAGAGCATGAAACTGAAGCAGGGCCCTGCTGCCTGGGGGGGCTGTGTCTGTCTGCGCTCCCGTCTTTTAATTGGCATCATGTGGGGGAGCGGACGGAGCGGTGACAGCTGCGACAGGCGGGACGCATCCCGGCAGAGCGCTCAGCCCCGCGCCTCTCCTCGCAGCCCCGCGCCGCAGCCTCGGCGGGCGGCCGGGAGCAAGGGAGGGGGGCGCCGGAGGCGGAGGGGAGCCGGGGAAGTTCCTTCCCTCACTCCGTCACCGGACTGTCCTCCCGCCGGCTTCTTAGCCACGAAGGGCTCCGCTTCCCTCGCCCCACTGCCCTTCCCGAGGTGGGCGATCGTTGGACGCACAGCAGCTCGGGGAGAGCAGGGTCTGGGCAGTCCTTCACCCTCCCCTGCCCTTCGCTTCCTTTGGAAGCCCTACAAAGAACTGGCTGGCAGAGATACTTGTTTACCGTCTTCGTCATCGTCTTCAGTGCGTTAGAGTTCTAAGGGGAAGCTAAACTACTTCAACCCATCAATACAAAGAAAGCCTATATGTAGCCAAAGACAAAAATGTGCAAAGGGCAAAGTGGCAACAACAAAAAGACCGTGTAGTTGCAGGGGTATCCATCGCTTAAAAGCCAAAGGAAATTTTTCTGTAGGCCTGTTCTTCACTAGAGCTAAGCTAGATGAAAGTTAAAATTTCACATTTGTGAACAATTCACTCCCTCTCACTTGTGACCCTGACAGGAGAGCATGACCAGCCTTTATGTCAGGCTGGTGTCCTGCTGCCATTCAGCATGGTCAAAGTTGGATCATGTAGAAGAAGGTGCATGAAGGGCATAAAGGGAATAAACTTTCTTCCTAAGCTTCTTGTGAAGGAATGGGTCTTTACACTGAAGTGGTGCTTCAGTGTCTGGTGAAGAGAAATTTGGTACCCCATGTACTGAGACAGTTATTTCCTCACAGCTTCCCTTCCCCATTTTTAGCTATAAATAGGGCCCTAGCTTTTAAAGTTTGTAGATGTCCTGATTTCCATTTGATCCAGCCTCATTTTGGAGAGGATTATCTATTTTAATATCTGGTTCAGGTCTTAAGTACTATATTATAGAAACTATACAGTGAAAATATTCACAGAACTGTAGGGGCAAATCATGAAATCCTTAAACTGACAAGACTTCTGTAAGACTGTATGCTTAGCCCCAGATAATCTCTTGAAGGACTTCATATGGCACATAAAATTTGCTGTGAATAGGCTTTTGAATATTTCAAATGAAGAAGTCTCTATTCTGACCTCAAATATGCTCTTAGCCAAGTACCTTAAATTCATCTTCTGCACTTGCAATAGGACGTGACAGTGCTTTTTTATTCTTTTTATGCACTAAGCAGTGTGCAATATTTGAAATGAGGACAACAATTAAACACTACGTTTAGACTGTTGTGAAAGATGCCAGACTCACTAACTTAGTTATAGTACTGTATAATACACACTTGATGTAAGATTTAACCTCAGTTAAAATTGCTTGGTAACATGTATCAAGTAACATGGTATTTTGGTAAAGGCTTTATAGAAAAAGCCTTAGTAACAAATCTGGAAGTTTTGCTTGTCCAGATATAATGGGAATGTTTAAATTGTTTCAATGGTTCGATTGTATCTGAGATACTACATATACCAGATAAACAGCATGCTGCCACTTTATATTGCTTAAAAGAATCCACAATTACTAAATATTTCCCCCAAGTATTTTTTATTTGTGCATATGTAGAGAATGGTTTAAGATGCCCAGACCTTAAAACAGGGTTATCAAAACAGTACGACTATGGTGTTTGTAGTACTGAATAATATATAAGGTAATGATCAATAGTCCCTTACAGGGAATACTTTTCATCTTTACATTAGCCGGGCTATAAATTTTCCCTATTGGCTTCAACTTGTGCCATGTTAGATTTATGTGATTCATGCCTGTTATTGATTAGTGCTCAACTATTTTGTGGGAGATGCCAAATTAATTGTTAAAAAAATCCATGAAAGTGCTTTTTTATTGGCCACCTGAGGCTCAACACATACTATACTGTTATTTTATTATTTCATGTATATATAGTTTCTAATGAGCTTTAAAAATAGTTATATGATGTGCTTAGGCATGAAAATTCACAGAATATATTGAAAATGCTACTCTGTGCTTTATTTTGTGACTCAGAAAGTAATACTGCAGCGTGCTTCTGAGTGCTGCTGGATAACTCCTGTGAGATCATTACTGTCTAAAATGAGTACTCCCAAATAGAAAGCAATTTCCATTTTTTAGACAAGAATTCTAGGTTTATGCAAGGTTTGGCTGGTAGCATCCTCATTGAAGAGGAAAGCAATTTGCAGGGAAGGCTGCCAGAAAATCCCCAAGCCCCTAGAACCAGATGAGCCAATACTTAATACAGATACTTGCTGTGCTGTTCACGTGGATGCTGAATCTGGGAGCTTTGCGTAAGCAGTGCTTCTTGGCAAAATATTATTTCTATGTGCACAAATGTCTGTGTAAGCTTGCTGTTTTGTGCATGGGAGGGGTTAATCATGTATACATTATTACTTAGGTTAAGCATATTTTATTTTTTGAATTTGAGATTAATAAATAACATATCAGGGAGAATGGTTACTATCTAAACAGAAATTCATGAAAGTGGAATATACTAAGGACTGTCATTTCTCAAGCCTCTGGAAGATCATACTGTGAGTAAATCTTTCCCTGTATTCCTGATTCATTGATGTCTGGAAGTAGATCTTTAGGTTCCATGTGTAACATTGTTTTATCTCACAATTCTGATTAAATCGTATTTTTTCAGAATTTATTTTGCAAGACAAATTTCATAAGTTCCTCGCTTCTGCTAATTTGGGCACTCTAAAAACTTTTTTTTTCTCTGAATGTGCTATCTGTTGTGCAAATCAGAGCGTAACTGAGCTTGTGTTTGGAAAGGATGAGAAAGATTTAGAGTAATCTTTTCATTTAATATGTTAATGCTGTCTGCAATTCATCATTCTAACAGGCACTCAAAGGACGTTAATTGTTGTATATTCATTTTTTCCTCATCTTCCTCTAAACAATACAGAAAATGGGAAAACAGCCTTAAAAATAGCTGCTTGACATTCAGGGATCAGTTACATCTGAAAAAAAAATCTTTCAATGGAAACAATATATACATTGTTTGTTTTTTTCCCCTGCATTTTATAGGTATACTGGAATTTATCAGTATAGCAGTGGGCTTGGTCAGCATCCGAGGAGTCGACAGTGGACTTTACCTTGGAATGAATGAGAAAGGGGAACTGTACGGCTCGGTAAGTTCCCACTAGCCTTGGGCAGTTATGATCCTTTTATTCTCTGGGGGAAAGGCTAGCTTCTACAACCTCCTGTTGCATTAGGTATATATACTGTATGAGCACTTTTTCTGCTCCAAATGTCTTGCAATCTAATTTGAAACTAGACCCTGTGGGTGACATAATGAATATGGGAGAGGGAAAAGGTGACAAAATTGGGAAAGAGTAATAACGCAGATGAATGGCAATTCAGACACAAGCAATAAAGACTGCTGGCCAGAGCTGGGCATTGAAGACTAAAGGTTGTACTGTAAGATTTGTGAATGTGTCCTTTCAGTAGAGACTTAAACTGAGACAAAGTGGCTTCCTTTTGTGCGTAGGCAGAGAGCTTTCTAGGAATTGACAAAATAAGGTAGAGCGTGAGAGAAAGGGCGGCATATGTGGATGAGAAAATGAGAAACAGAAGTGTGACAAAAGTTATAAAAAGTATGGGAATGAGGGCAAGAGGCTTGGTGGTCTTGTCCTGAATGTTCTGCTGGTGCTCCCTAAGGGATGGCAGCAGGAGTGAGTAATGGCTATGAGGGAGGAGTAAAACTTGGTATTTCAGATGTGGGAGTTTGCCAGCCTACCTGCAGCTGATGGGTGACTGTTCTCAGCAGCATGGGCTGTCTTCCAGCAGAGGAGAGAGAGTGTGTGTGTGTGTGTGTGTGTGCGCGCGCGCACGCGCGTATGATGTGACCCTTACCTGGGAATGCTTGAGTCTTCTGATGTATGCTGGAGTTCACACCCTGGCTAGATTGTGGGCAAGGGGCATCTGAAATGGATCAGGTAACTCCCCAAAACAGTAGAAGGCAATCTCTTCTAGCAGTAAAATATCAACCTCCAAAGTTTACAAGGGCTAGTGGGGAGTTGTCTTTGAGGAAGAGGATGGAAGGATTGAAGGGTAAGCAAATGTCTAAAGCAAAGTGAAGCTATGCATTCACAGAGGGTCATTAGAAGCAGAGGAGAAGGTGACAACGGTCGACTGATGGAGTAAACGTTGCAGAGAAATACTCAAAAAGAAGTTAAAGTGATAGAGAATGGCTTTGGGTGTAGCTGAAGATAACTGTGCCACAGGGAGCAGCACTAACTGGGAAAAGGTGGGGACCTCAATGAGAGTGGGAGAAAACATGAGATTTTGGTGGTGAGTGGGCAGGTGGAACAGAAGGAGTAAGAGGGAAATTCAGCTTCCATAAATGTGATCCATGGAGGAGTATAAGGAAGTGAGACCAGGAAAGTCCAGCAGAAGTGTTTTTATAAGGGTTTCCAAGTTCACTGATCTCTTTCTAGTAAAGTTTTGTGTGAGTGAGGGGAAGGGAACTATCTTCTGAGCAAAGAGCAGGCTAGGGGAGGAAGCCAGAAAATACAGATAATAGTGTATGTGGGAGACAGAAAAAGAGGTAGTAGAATGAGGGGCAAGACTGGGATGGAGGATGTGTGGACATGGGAGAGGGGTAGCTATAGAGTTGGTGAGAGCCAGTGAATGCGAAAGGCCAAAGAAAAGTGATTTAGCGTAAATGGCAATATGGAGGAGGTAAATTTTGGATGGATGGAGAGGGAGTGAGAAAGGGAATGGATGCAATGACAGAAAGTTGCCTTTGAGGAATAAGTTGTCATAAGTCACAATAGTTGTGCAGTTGATGAGTGTGATAAAGAACTAGCAAAGTCATGAGTACTTTTATGGTTGTTAGGCAGCAAAAAGGCAGAACAACAACAGTAATATGAATCAGTAATGTTGATAATCATCAGTAAGAGTAATCATTTAAACTTATAAACATAGTGAATCAGTTACTCTGCATTTCAGATATTCTGAGAAAGAAAATGTGCTTATTGATAGAGCTCAAACGCATAGACTTGGGAAAGCAAATGTTACATCACTTTTCTGTGTAATTTATATTTTGTATTTGCAATATGTTCGACTGTCAGAGTGAATTACTCAAAACATTCTTTGCTGAAGAAATATGCACAAGAAATTCTTTGTATATTATTAAGTTCACTGCATTTATGAAATAGTTGTTCTATGAACAGCAGTTCTAAAGGAGCTTGCTTTCCTAGGGGTTTGTGTCTCACAGGACAACATCTGGGTCTCCCTGACCTTCTGTCCCTGCAATAGCACAAATTCCTCAGCCTTTTGTGTTTCTTGTATGGAGAAAGAGACAGTATTAGCTGTCCATGCTCACCAGATTGTCAGTTTGCAGGGATTGCATAGTTTACCACTCCCAAGTGGGACGTGCAAATGATTTCTCTTCTTTACCATGCCTCTGACTAGTTGCAAAACTGATAGGAACTTAATTTTCTTGAAGACCTTTGCCTCCTGATTGAAACTCATTGAAAAGCCAAGGAAGGAGAGACAGGCAGGCAGATGGATGTGGAATATAATTGGATAACCTCTTTTCCCTAAGAAAGGACACTAAAAATATGAAGCCGTTCATAATGGAGAACTGGCAATCTATGAGGCCAGAATGCAAAGTTCAGGTTAAAATTTGATGGATGATACGGCCTGTTGTCAGCCTCCAGAGATGGGACATACTAAAGAGTGATGGTAATTGAATTACATTACTTCCAATGAAATATAACCTCTAATGGCTACTCAATGTGATGATGCTTTAAAGAGTTGTCAACACTAGCAATCCTAGTGCCTATATTTCAGCAACTGTCAGCTCTCTTAGAAACACTGAGATAAGCAGACCTCAGAGCAAATTTTTGTGTAGAAGTGGCTGGACGTTTTTAAGTGACAACATTTTGGTTTTGGCCAAAAAGTCCACTTAATTGAAAGTTAAGTTCTCTGAGGGAATAAATGTTGCAGCATGAACAAGATCAAGGCACAATCCAGCATGTAATTATCTCTCTGGTGAAGCAGAAGACTAGTTTAAGCAAGAGTAGGTTTGAGACTGATATATGATAGACTACAAAAAACTTAATTCAGTTTTTCACCTGCATTAAGCAGAGCAGTCACTTGAGTTGAACTGTTCTGTAGCACCAGTAAGTTGTCTTTGTGCTGCTGTGCTGGGAACTGGATCCCTCTGTCTTGGTTTCTTTTCAAAGGGCCATGAATAGCACCAGCTTTGTCATGGAGTGACATGTCCACTTAGGACACTGTGAATGTGTTTCCTAAGGTGGGAAAACTGTTTCCTAAGGTGGGAAAACTGTTTCCCACACACAACTGAATAGTAGCCCAAGAAATACTTGGTACTGCTCTACATCAACTTTGTGGATCTAAATAGGTGCTTAGACCCACCACTTGAGAAGAATTCAGTACTTGACACTATCGGAACAGGTGCCCTTTGTCCATGACACTGTCATATTCATATTCAAATTACTGCATGAAAAGTATATTAGGTGTGAATCAAATCAGTGACCTAAAAGATTTCTATCCTTCAATGTTTGTGTTTGAAACATTTGTCACAGGAAGATTTTTCCCAGTGTATTTGTGGTACCACTGGAGATGGGACATATGGCAAAGCAGCGCAACCAGGGTTGGTGATCACTGACAGTTTTCATGAAAGACAACAGTAAAGGCAGTTTCAGTGTATCTTGATCAAAACATGTTGGTCTTGGCCTTCTCAAAGTTCTGCTTTTCTTCTAGATTAGCTACCTGACAAACTCTTCCCAAGTTCCCACAGTTAGTGGGCAGTTCTGACTGCACTTTCTGGTCAGAAGGGCACAGTGACTCTTGTGCTGCTCTTAGGCAGATATGTGTAACATAGTATGGCTGTTCTCAAGTTCTTCCTCAAGCCATGGATTTAGCCAGGGAAAGCTAGAGATATATGCATGTGGTACTGCAGAGGAGCCGGTGGTAGCTACACAGCAATGACTTGGAGGCTGGTTAGTGACAGCAGCTTTCCGTTTTGTCTGTCCCTGCTCTCCTTTTACCTTGTCTTTCCCTTGCAGCCTGCAGCTATGACTCATCATGTTTTACAACAGCTACTGTGCTTGTCACTGGAAAAGAGGAAAAATATAAACTACAGACAGGACCCTAAGGGTGTTAAGAGAAGATTCAAAGACTGTTTCCTTCCCAAGTGCCAAACAGCTTTTTCCAACCCCTCTGACAAGAACATTTGCAAATGTGTTTTAGCTGTGTCCCTGAGGGCCATGCCATGCAGTGAGGGAGGTCTCTCTGATCAGTCTCAAGACCTTCACGCTTTCTTGGGCGTTGTGATGCTGCCTTTGGGAATATTAAAAGGTGGCACCCATGTGGCAGGCGGTGATGTGTACCCATACCATGGGATGCCCGTCGTTCCCACTGCAGGCTGTCCTCTGAGGCAGTCCTGTACTGTCTCAAGCACAGCAAGACCATGGAACACCCTCGCCTCAGCTGCTCTGGTTGTCCTGGGAGCTTCAGCAGTAGAGAGCTGTGCTATGTCCCACTGCTACCATCCCTGGCCCCCCCCGATCTCCCAAGGACATGGACCTTCCCCACTCCTCTTCTCAGACTAGATATAAGGAAAAAAATTTTTACTATGAAGGTGGTGAGACACTGAAACAGGTTGCCATGACACACTGTGGATGCCCTATCACTAGAAACATTCAAAGTCAGATTGGGTGGGGCTTTGAGGAACCTGATGTTGTTGAAGATGTCCTTGCTCATTGCAAGGGGGTTGGACTAAATGAGCTTTAAAGGTTCCTTTCAACCCAAACCATTCTATGATTCTGTGGAATGCTGGTGCCCTCATTGCTCTTTGTGACCCTGGCAGGTCACAATAGACAGCTCAGGTTGGATGGTCAGGAGGAATACTGGTAGTTGGAAGTCCTGGAGCAGCTACCAGGGAGCTGTGCAGAGGGAAGGAATAAAGCAGGAGTGGAGATGGTGGACTTCTGGGGAAGAGGGAAAGGGCCTGAAGTGCATAGAAGGAGAGGTCAGGGGAGAGTAAAAAGAGAAGTTTCATGTGGCCACAGAGCAGCTGGTACAGGGCTGAAGAGCCCAGACTGGGAACCAGAGAGGGAACTCCACACCTCTGGGTTTGACTTACAGGGTGTGTGCT